GGGCAAAATAATGAAAGTCTTTGTGGGAATATCTTCTTCTTTTCAAAGCATAACCATAATACTTAGCGGCTCTGTAGACTACAATACACTTGCTTTTCATGCGAAGTTGCTTTGTGCTCTGACGAAAAATTGATGAATTATTATTGTGTCAATGCGGCAGTTAATGGCTGTACATGGTCACGCATTACAGATGAAGTGACAAAACTGTATAAGCTGACACTCTGAACTTCTATATAAAATAAAGCAGCAGGCCCCTTTCTAGGATTCTATGAAACGGAAATTCTTTTATTTTGACTTGAAAGCCTACCAGACAGCAGTGAAATTAAGTAAGTTTACCACTGGCAAGTTCCATAATAACTGGCTTTTTTTTCTTTCAGGCGCTAATTACCAACGAGTATTGCACATTAGTGGATGCATATTGTGTTTTGTATCTACTTGTGCTTACTAACTTGACCAACCAGGGCTTCGACAAAGTATTTTCAGTGAATCATTAATCTCACAGGTGTTTTTTGGTGTTAGCTCCATCTATGAAATGAAAAATCATACTGTTTTGCACGAGTTCAAGGGTTTGCTAAATGTGGTGCAACTAAATATAAAAAAGCTAGCAGAACAGGTGTGGGTTATTTCTCCAGGCTTCATGGTTTGCCTTACTAGGTAAGTCTAGTCACCGCGCATAGCAAACATCCACCATAAATGTAGGAGGCCTTAATTATGAACCCTATCCACTTGCACCACGTTATAAGGTGGGGAGGTCTTATCAAGCGGCAAATGGTCTCGGTACATATGCCGGGAAAATGCAAGTTCATCACGCTTCCGCAGAACCAGCGTTCCCAAGCGCATCTTTGGTAATGTGCATTTCTTCGCGGTTCAGCTGCTCGTGTTTTGCGCATTTCTTTGATTGTTCTTGTGCCTGTGAGGTTCAAAATTGTGAAAGGGAGGACGCTGACACGCCGTACGAATGATATGTATGAAGTGACGATTCAAAGGGGTTACAATGTTTTTTTTTTTGTTCTTTATTGCCTTGCATCTGAAGACTGTTATAATTTCACATACTCGACAATATACAAAAGTACCACGAAATACAATGAAGAACCGTCAGCTCTGAGCTCACTATAAATCAATACTTTGGAATTCGTACCAATGGTTCGATGCGCACAGTCCACTCTGGTACATTCTCTTGCCGCTTCAGCACTTTAAGAAAATGGCACACTGGTTCGCAAACATATCACACAACATATGGTTCGCAAACATATTCACACAGATCACACTTCTACATCTGCATTCTCGGTGAACGTTCTCAAAGCTTGTAATTGCCGAGAATTTCAGAGTAAGCCTGTAGAGAACCTTGCCGACAACTTTCACTGACCAGTATTAGGAAGGTGTACCCAAGGAACTAAATACATCCTAGTTGCAATGGTGCGACAGAAGCGAAACTTTGTCGAAGATGCAGGACGTTCTGGTCCAAGTGGCAGGATATGCAATGTACGGAACCCTCGAAAAGTTAAATTGTCCTATATGCAGAGACGCGCTCACTACGAATAGGACAATCACTGTCTGCCACATATGAGCGCTACGGTGTCAAGAAGCAGTTCGACCGGTAAAGATCACTCTACCTAATGATAAGGCTGTTGCTCACAGCCACTTTGTCGTAAAGCAGCTTGCTGCGCAGCCACTACTACTACCAATGCACGAATAACACTGATGCATTACAAAGTACAAAGCTGGCCGTGCAATTGCTGGTCAACGAAGAATAACCCAACTTCGACTCCCGTGAGAAGGGCCACATGAACAAAATAGTGCTATACATATATTGTAGCACTGACGAATTCTATAAATGCAAAGCATTACTTTGTGTACTGCAAGCACTTTCAAAGGTGGGTCAATGGTTAAGCGTAGTGCCCCCCTCCCTATCAATGCATTGTATGGGTACAGTGACTAGTGCATTCTAGGCACTATGGTAAGGGGCAGACTTTACACACTGACTGTTAGGGGACGAGAGGGGGATGCCTGCCCTGACCCCCTCGTGTGCACGCCTATGCTGACAGATGTACTATACATCAGGTGCAACGATGTGAAAGCTATGCAAGGAGTTCTGTGAGAAACATGCGTGACTTCGCACATCTCGTGCTTGGCTTTCATACTTGTAAACGCAATGTGCGAGATGAGCGCGTCTGTACAGCGTCCCGAAAGCCTTTAAGTAAAACATCAAGAAATGAGAACAAAGGGAAACCGTATAACGGGACATTTTTATCTTCAGAACACAAAGCAAAAAGAGGAAAATAAATCATGTCTCACATTCAAAAATCGCCGTACTATTTTTTAGTGCAAACACATTCATTGCAAGAGGTCTCCCTGGCTTTCACAGCGTTGCACTTGATGCAAGAGGTCTTGACTTGAAAGAGGTCTCGCTGGCCTTCACAGGGTTGCACTGATTCTTAAAGTAAACACTTTGTGGGAGCTTAGTTTAGCATAATTTAGGCAGTAGCATAAAGATGCGGAAAGCAAGATGGGAAACAGCGTGAACCAACTAATGAATTATCCCATGTCATCCCATATACTAGGTGTTCCACGTAATTCTCGTAAAAACTTTAGAAAAACCATGTGCTCTAGGAGGTTCTAACTCCTCTATATTAGTGGAAGTTATGTGTTCAACTAATCATCAACAAGAGGCACTTTATTTAGGCAATCATTTTATTGCAGTTGAAGAGGGCGAAGTTTAGAAAATAACCCCAGGATCCTAAACAAGGTTATCTTGTGCTGAAATGTGTTTGGCGGTTTTTGTAGCGTAAGCTACAATGGCCGAGGTTGAGCAGTTTCGCATGGCAAGAAAAAAACAAAAGACACGCTCGTGTGACGCTACATCAAGCCAGTGCCAAGGTCGCTACATCAAAAAGAAGGTTAGCGGCCGTGCCAGTATACTAAAATGCTTCAAAAAGTTTGGTTGATCTTATGTTCAATTGTTATTCCATGAATGTGAGTGAGTCAGAGAGACAAAGAGGGTGTGTGTTTGTGTATGTGCGTGCGTGCGTGTGTTTACACTTGAGCGAAACAACGCTGGTTTCAGTCTACCAGCTGTCACTGGGGCACCTTTCGTCGTGTCGTTGAAACGACGCAAACAGTTGGCCGACAGTAAATGAAAGACGCCGTCTGCATTAGTGCTCCTTGCTTTTCGTTGGCCGATTTCGGCGCTAATCGTACTTACGCACACAATTTTCTCGCTCTGTGCAAACGTGGATGAATGGCGGCGTCTGGTGTCTTTTTTCGAACTATCGGCAAGATGGAGGTAGTGGAACCGCCACCTTAGATGCAAACTGCACGCACATAGCTAATGTGGCTGCCATTTCTCGCTGAAATTAGCGCATGTGAGAAAACATTGAGATTGGTCAGGCATATTGGCCAGTGTGGTGCAATTTCAGCAAATTTCATGGTTTTGGCGCAAATGGCAAAGCTGTTGCACCCCTGGCATGATAACATAAGTGCAGTTTATACCATTTAGGCACCAAGGAGCTCACATTATATAGCATTGAGATTAACCTGCACATATTTGCATGTATCTTGTTTAAGCAACGTGTCCAGCTGATATTCTCTTCAAAAACAACAGCTAGAAATTTATAACTAAGAATCTGTTCAATAGCACAGTTTTGAAATCTTATACAGGCATTACAGTCATCACCCATCAGGCTTATTACGGTTTTTGAAATAATATATTTAACTTTTCTTCACTAAGTTGACGTTGGTTTAAATGTAACCAATGTGACAGTTCGGTTAGCCATCTATAGCTACATTTTGAAGTTCAAGTAGATGTCTATCTGAAAAAAAAAAGTACTCGTGTCGTCTGCAAAGAGAATTATGTCTGGAGATCGCGCTATGTTCACAATATCATTTATATAATGAAAATTAAAGGTCCAGAATAGAACCTTGCGGAGCACCATATTATATTGGCTGAGAACAGTAACAACTGTGGTCATAAAAGCGGTTATAGCCTTTTAAAAAGCAACTGGACTATGTGCACAGCTATAACATTTTTTGCAGCTGGAAAGGATTGTATATACTCATCTCTCTATCTCACCACCGTCATTTATTACTCTTTTTCATTCCCTTTCCCTTCCCCAGTGTACAGTAGCATGCTAGGGCAGGCTATCACTCAGGCCAACCTCTCTGCCTTTCTGTAAATAAAGCTTTCTCTATCTCTAGACTATTGAATGGTGCATGGCAAAGGTGCGGAAAGGGGTACTTGCCACCTTCAAGCCATACGAGTGCTTGACACCATTCCCTTTGAGACTACACCAGGGCTCCCCCATGCCACCATTGATTGATTGATATGTGAGGTTTAACGTCCCAAAACCACTATATGATTATGAGAGACGCAGTAGTGGAGGGCTCCGGAAATTTCAACCACCTGGGGTTCTTTAACGTGCACCCAAATCTGAGCACACGGGCCTACAACATTTCCACCTTCATCGGAAATGCAGCCGCCGCAGCCGGGATTTGAACCCGCGACCTGCGGGTCAGCAGCCGAGTACCTCAGCCACTAGACCACCACGGCGGGGCCCCATGCCACCATGCAATACAGGTTGGCATCTCCCAAGAAAAAGAATCCTGCCGATGCCCATGGTTCCATATGGCTGACCTCAAGTGGAGTAACGTTTAAAAGTGAGAAAGCTCATGGCCCACATGATTGTAGCAGCACGAGGCTAGAAAAAAGGGGGGATTTGTCAGGAAGAAACAATGCCAGTTGCCGAAACATTTCCCTTGTCACTCCGTGCAACTTCAAAAAATAGGCAATGCATGAGTCGCATATTTTAGCAAACCATAAGCAAGTTCAGCTCAGTGTCATCAAGGGAAAGGGGAGGAAAAGAGAGGAAAGGAGAAGCCACAACGATCGTCAGGGCAGGGTACACCTTTACTTTCCATTAGACGAGCCAGCGGGCACCCTTCGGCAGAATTGAACTCAGTACCTTCCTCACTTTCGACGGGGCTCAAAAGCAGAAAAAGCTCACCTCTTCGCACTCCTTGCAGTTGTGCGCCGGTAGCCTCTGCCGGTCCGCCTTCTTCCGCACAGGGCTGTTGTGACACTTGAACCTGCAAGCATATCGTCACGTGTTATGTCTCTTCAAAAACAAGGATGACAAGCAAGCAGTACACCTCACACAAGGGAACAGAACGGCAGATGGTTAGGTGGGTAATAAAACTGGCAAAGTTGAAGGCATAAAATGAAACGGCCTCGCTCAGGACAGATAGTATGGGCGATTATCAGGAGGGGTATTCGTTAGTCGGTGGGCATGCGAATAGGCTGGAGATCATAACCATGATTGGAATGATAGCAATAGCGCGATGCAAATAGCCGGACATGGCACCTCAACCGCTTCTGTTTTATTTTTGCATTCAGGCACGCAGTCTCATAGCCACCAACCAGCGCTAACAGTGTCCAACGGCAAGACAAAAACGTCGTCCCTATTCATGTCTTGGTGTAGTTACAAATGATGTGCTTAGCGCACATCCGCCATTGTGAAACTTGAAAAGAGTGTTCAGCATGGGGGACCACAACCTTGGTGCTTGCCAAGGCAGGAGCACCCCTTCTTCCGCGGTGCAGGTGTCTGCTTCAGAAGCATTTTTCCCGATGTGACGTAATTTATCGACATTAATTCTTTCTGCTGATACTATATAACACCTTTCAGTTCATTTTGCACTGGTTTTGAGCATTGTGAGCCTTGTTCTCAGCCTTTATGAACCACAGCATGAGCATACGATACGAGACTTTGGACAAATGACAATCTGGGCCCCTAAAGTGCTGCGCACAGAAAATGTGACGGACAACCTTCCCTCGACCACCCACAGATCCTGGCTATAGACATATAAATCCATGTTCGTAAACAGCGGTAGGCACCGTCATCATACTGAAGCACTCATGGCGACGTCGCGGTGTGCAGGATCTGCCCAACCCAAAGCTCACCACCACCCTCTATGATCACGTGACATCTGCCACAGCAGCCGCAAAACTGCCTCCGAGTTACGCTCATAGTGCGCTCACTGAGCGGCGGAGCATGAGATGCCACCATCAACAGGCGGTGCGGCTTGCAGAGTCACCTGAAACTTTCCGGCAAGTTCAAGGGTGCTATCGCGCGTTGCTGTTTTGCGCCTAAGAAAAGTAAAAGTTACGGTTCCCAACATGCATAACATGTCTTGATGCAACTCTTCTGGGTATTGTAAAATCAATTACTCTCGTTGTGACCCAGTTGATTTCATAATTGTCGGAGTTTACCGAAACCACCATACGGTTATGAGAGAAGCAGTAGTGGACAGCTTCAGAAATTTCAACCGCCTGAGATTCTTTAACGTGCACCTAAGCACCCTGGCCTCCAGCGTTTTCACCCCCATCAAAAATGGTTGGCCGCGATTTGATCTCACGAACTGCGGGCCAGCAGCCCTATTCCTTAACCACTAGACCATCCTGGCAGGTTGTTGCGACTGATTTAAGGAGGGTGGGCAATGTTTTAAGCGGGTATTGCATAGATCAATGCTCCTACACACGCGCGCAGTTGGGGGCACTTGTGCAGCTGATCGACTAATTGTTTAATGCCATTTCGTCACTAGCAATCATACCAACTTCACTTTCGCATTTTGTACATCACTGTAGAGAACCCCGATATAAGCAAACAAGCCTGCCCGCCCGCTCGCCCGCCTTCCCTCTCGCCCGCCTGCCGTCTCGACCGCCTGCCTGCCTGTATATCTCGCTAGCCACCTATGTCTGAGTGCTCAAGTGATCACCCCCTTTACTTGGCGTCAACCAAAATTAGCATGAGAGGGTAAGATGGTTTGACCAATACGAAGCGCTGGTCAAGACATGAATAATGCCACAATGCCGTCGCGTACATCGTCAATCTATTTGCATCAGACAGTGGCACATACCCGGGAGCGGGAATGTGCCACTTCTATGCGGGTGTGCGCCGCAGGTGAATGACACTTTGTATCTACCCAGGAACAGCGAGAACACAGATGGGTAATTTTAGCGCGTGAGCATTAAGAAAAAAAGCTGACATTTACAGCATTGACCTGACAAATGCATAGAATAAATGTCAGGGTCCCAGAAGCAATTGAACCCCAGCATTCTGCATGGCAAGCAAGTATTCTACCACAAAACCGCGCCAAATCTTGAAACTATCTTTCAATATTTTCATACTTTTCTTTCATATTTTTCTCCAAACACTCCATACTTTTCAAAAACTCCTAATGTTCATCAAAAGTCAATTGGGACTGCAGTGCTGGCTATCCAATTTTATAACCATTACATATGCGCTCCTATTATACAGCCGTCACATCTGGTTAACATCAATTGTAGTTAAGTGCAATCCGCTAAAGTTGATTTATGTAGATGTGTCCAAGGCTGCCATCCTCGCGAGCACCAGCACTTCATATGAGCTGTTGCCAATACTAATGTTGCGTGTGCACAACCAAATGGGAATATAAACATCTGTTCAACATATGTCGATTGCCAAGGTATGTGGGATCTGCCAAATTTTATATATATATTTTTTTCCGCATATGAGATGGTCTGTGCAACACACCTACTGTATTTTTTTTTCTTGCAAATCAATAATGGGTGGAATCTCTTTTCATTGAAATAAATGTAAACTACCTCGGCACCACTACCTTGAAAACTTTTTTTTTATTTGCAGACTTGCAACATCATAAAAGGTTTATCAGGGGCGTAGCCAGAAATATTTTTCGGGAGAGATTCGCAACGACCTGGTGGGGGGGAGGGATAGGCATCAGCTTTTCTTTGTGACGTGACTAACTGCGGTAGTTTGAGCAGATTGTATACATATCAAAGTCATCAGATTCCCCCCTTTCTCCATACGTGAGCTTGTAAAGAGAGTAGTAAGTAATAATAAAGTAATCGCACTAAAGTACAGTAAAGGACTGATAATTGATTCATTGATATATAGAGTTTAATGTCCCAAAACTATCATATGATTATGAGAGATTCCATAGCGGAGGAATCCAGAAATTTCGACCACCATGGGTTTTTCAACATGCACCCAAATCTGAGTACACGGGCCTACAACACTTTCAGCTCCATCAAAATTGCAGGCCACAGCAGCCGGGATTCAATCCCGCCACCTGCAGGTTAGCAGCCGAGTACCTTAGCCACTAGACCACCGTGACAGGTGTAAACGACACGTAGAGTGATCGTTTGGAGAAACTGCCTCTCATCGCACAATTTGAACGAACTAGTCTTCGAAAAAGCATCACTGCTATGACCTGTCCGATCGGAGAAGACACTGTTAATCGTTAATCTCTGTAAAACGTAGATGGCATAGTCCTTGTGGTGATGAAGTGCGTTTCATAAGTCATGGACAGCTCTGCTTACAACGAGGAATGAGAGGTATACGCAGCATGTTTTTGTACATTCATAATTACATTTCGGTCTTGCTTATTTTGCTGAGCAAATAAATTCTTAGTGACCATAGTTGTGACTGCATGCCTATAGGAATGATATTTATGTTGAGCTCTATACGTCAAGCAGCCCTGATGCAGTGATGGCTTTTAGTGAACATTTTTTACTTTATTGCACATGTCCAAGCATGTTTACGATACGCAACGAGTAATTTTTCTGTAAGTAATGCTGCACGTTGGCAACACGATTTCGCACACATTATATTTTGGGCAGACTTTCTCGCAACACTGGTTGACATTACAGTTGCACTGAGACTTTTCATAGCAATGAAGTAATCCAATTGTAGACATTTTATCGTGTAATCTGCAAGAGCAATACTTGTTGAGAAATGTTCAGTTGGTCTCATTCGAAAATTCACCTGGGACGAGACTATAGCTGCTGACATAGAAATAGCTTGCTTGCAGGGTATATGCTCTATAAAACATAACTACGCGTAAAAACGCATAATTTTCTCATTTTATTTATTTTTTCGTAGCTTTTGCCACTCGTCCAGCCCTGAAACGATAGCGTTGCGGCGAAGTGTCTTCCGTTATTTACAAGCGTGCAGCCATCAGAATATTTCACTGTGCAGCATAGATATGCCATGTATACACTGTTCTATCTAGTACGTGCATTCATGTTTGCAGCACTTACGCCAACGTGAACAGGAGCAGCCTTGTACCGCAGAAAATCTCGAGGGATCCGTTTACTAGTGATAAAGTAATGAACTCTGGTCTTCTTCAGAGCATGGAGCACCATAATCAATTTCTCAGAACACGTGAACTCCAACAAGAACTGCCAGCATATGCAACACGAGTTTACTTACGCTGTACTATGCACCATCCGTGCCTTTAAGTGGTCTGTTTCAGGCATTCTGATGCGAATTGCTCGAAATTCACTGCTGGCATCAACACCTTTGCATTCATTCATGCTTGTGGTATGGCATCACAACGCAACAGAAGCTATACCAGCCTTCTGTAGAGGTGCAATCACAAATGCGAAGAATTTTGTGCAAAGAGTAAGATACTGGACAAGCGCGACCCTACCGGCACCTGCAGGAAAGCAGAAGAAATGTATACCGGCGAATCTTTCCGCCAGGGGAGAAACGAGCGCTCATGTTTAAAGCCTAATGTTATGAGCCGACATGTATCGTCGCTGGAATTCTTGTTTCTCGCAATCAGTGTCACTGCCCAAACTTTGCTGAGCTGGTTGTTTCCTAGCAATGCGAAGTCGTCCGCTGAAATAAGCTGCCTACACGTATTGGTAGGCAGTTCGTGTCAATCAGCGGCTTTCTGTGAGACTCGATGGCCGCGCCGAAATGCCGTAAGGTATCGCTTCATGATTATTTCTCGAAGGGTGTCGCTTGCCCCAGTGCCCACTCATGAACTGGTGAAGAGGCTACAGCAGACGAAGAAATAGTTCCCAGCTGTAGTTTTACGCTGCCTGAATATGACTAGTGTGCCGAATAAACTCCTGAAAACTGATCAAAGCATGATGCATGCACGAGAACCACGATTCCTGACGACATTGGTCTTTACGTGTTTAACTGGCCAAGCTGCCAAGGTTTGCGGGACGACAAGACTAGATGACGTTTCCTAATAATGCCATAGAAACCAGGTGCTAACACCAATCTCTCAGTTAGTAA